TTGCACAAATTCCAAATCCATTTAAATTTTCTTATTAAATACAATTATAATTCTTTCTTTTTAGAGAAATTGCAGGGAAAAAAACTGTAAACATCAAATCGAGTGCGATTACGAATATTTTAAAATAGTTAAAATTTTGAGCGGGAAAGCTTTTTTAATACGTTCATAAGCAACTGATAATTAGGGGAAGAAAAACATTTTAAATTGGCATAAAACTTTGTCGATTTCTACAATAATCTATATAAATGCGTTTTCAAAAACTTCTGCTGAAATATGAAGAGTAGTATTTGTAAAGCATTTATTAGTGAGATCTGTAATTATATACTCAGCTTTTAGTTTTCATAACCTTCCAGTCATCAGAATAAAGTCATTAAGCATAAGGGGGGGCGAAAAAGGAATTTAAAAAAAAATATATTATTTTTACAAAATGACTCAAAATTTCCTGAGCTAGTATAATTATGTAACTCAAATAATTAAATATTTGCAAAAATTTTGTTGACCTCTCTCAGTCTTACCAATATTTCTGTATAGATATAGAACATAATTAAATATCGATAATGAGTATCATAGATAGTGGAGGATATAGAATGAGCATCTTAATATATAATTGTGTTTGTCGAAAAACCAGCCACTTTGATAAATGAACATAGCTGTCGGGAATCGCATATGAATGTCACATACATGCTTTATAATACCAAGAATGTTATAAAAATGACGGTTATTTGATATCAGCATTTACTGAACTTTCCAAAATGTTTAAAAATATAATGTTTAAGAGTCAGCAAGTTTGTTTAAAAACTGTATGCATTTCAATCACGGTGTGTTGTCACTATAATTAGAAGCTCGTCATCCATATTTAGACTTTTTCTCGATAAGCTACCGAGTCCAAATTTTGTACTCACCCCGTTTACGGATGGAAATACGGCAAGGTAAACCGAGTTTTATAAAATTCGATTTAGAGGTCTTAAAATTTAATGTTGAAAAAAATTTTTGCGCAGATTTCCATTCAAAGAATAAACTAAAAATCTCACAGATTTTAAGTTTGCATCACTTTACAGAGCGTAAAATAGCTTTTGAAATAAAATTTGCATAAAATTAATATAATTTCTGATTTTGGGTGAATTTTTAAAACTATACTTTTATGAGGTAAGAGGAATTTTGGAAGTAAAAGACAACCAAAAGGAGAAAAATAATTTGTTGTACAGATTAATGGGAATAAAAGCCCCTTTGAAAAATTCCTGTACAGTTTTATAACAAGAATAATAGATTCTTAAATAACGAAATCAAATAATCGAATCGTATTGTCAAAAGTATAAGATTTATAAATTTATCAAGAGAGCTGCACGCTTTTTTATTATTTGTGATATAAATTTATAGAATTTTTTTAAAGAGAATTATTTAATCAAGTGTTCCCAATAAATTATATAATACATTATTTTTCTCATTTTAATTCATTAATAATTTTATGAGTCATAAATAAAAATTTATTTTATAAAAAGTTGTTTATTTTTTCAATACTTGTTCTAAAACAGAAATTCTTCAATTCCTTTTATATATACATTCACTTTGTAACTGGTAATAAATTTGTTTCGTTAGAGTCAGTGTAAGGCCTTTATCTCAAAACATCAAGAAAACTTTTCCCTGTGCTAATGACAGCCATTACCCATTGCCGTCAGGGGTGCGCGGACCCTTGTCCCCTTAGGCAATGGGGGTTGGAAGACGTACAAAAATACGGACTAGACGTTTTTGGCGCATTTTTCCGCTATTACCAAAACACGGGAAGATCCATTTTCGAGGGTACATTTAAACTAATAATAATCCGTAATAAAAGAACGAGAAAATACGAGTCAAACCGTTAATAGGTTAATATAGATGCTTATGTGAGCATCTATGACATATCAAAAAACACTGGGATATATAACCATTATTTAGGGAATAATATCCAAAATGAACTCGTCCATTTGATGGGGAAAGTGGTTCTCAAGAAAATATTTGCAGATACTCAGTAAAATATTTGCTGCCAAATATTACTCCATCATGCTAGACTGTACTCCTGATGCAAGCCATCAGAAGCAAATGACTAATGATATACAAAATGATAATACGAATTGTCAATGTTTGTGACAACAGTTGAGATTTGTGAGCATTTTGTAGGCCTTTTGACAGTAGGTAGTAACACAGGTTTGAATTTGACAGAAGTATGCTTGAAAAAGCTTGATGAACTAAATTTGCAACTAAAAAACTGCAGAGGTCAAGGATATGATAATGGATCCATTTTGAAGGGGCAGAACGCAGGGTACAAAAACGCATACTTGAGCTAAATCCGAAAGCGTTTTATATTCTATGTGGCTGTCACAGCTTAAACTTAGTGCTCAGCGATATAACGAAATCTTCAACTATGGCTATCAACCTTTTTGAGATTTTACATGAGACTTACTTGCTGTTTGCTGCATCAACTCAATGCTGGGATATGCTCAAGTGATATGTGAAATCATTTACAATGAAGCCAATCTCAGAAACATGCTGGGAGTGTCAAATAGATTCTGTTAAAGCTGTGAGGTTTCAGGATCAATTTATGATGCATTGATTGAGGTCTCTGAGAGTACAAATGATCCAAAGGCAAGAACGGAGGTTGCTGGTTTTTTAAACCAAATTAAACGCTACTCTTTCTTGTTATCGTTAGTAATATGGCACAATCTCTTGGAAAAAGTTAATAGTGTGAGCAAAATCTTGGAAAGTAAGGGCGTGCAATTCGATGTTGCTTTGAATTGCATTCAGAACACAATCGACTTCCTACAAAGAAACAAGTATTGATGCAGCTAATCCTACGAAATCCTACAAAGAAACAAGTATTTCCTGCAAATCCTACAAAGAAACAAGTATCGATGTAGCTAAAGAGTTAACTACAGAACTGTAGATGGACGAGAGCAAAATAAGCTTTCCAGCTGCTCACATCGCAAGATGTAGAAGGAGGGTCCAAAGGCAACACAATTATGAAGCTCGTGATGAGCCCTTATGTGGTCCTAAACACTAATTCTACTTTGATTTTTTCAACGTCTTGCTAGATCAAGCCGTAATGTCAATGACTGAACGATTGACTACGTGAAAGCCCATTATGACAAGTTTGGTTTCCTGCACAATTTCGGATGCATTACAGGAATGAGCGAAACTAACCTGAGGAAGTGTTGCAATATGTTGTTCTTGAGAAAGTGTTGCTATTGTTCTCAGCGATATCTTAACAGATGAAATTACTGAGTCAGATGTTAATGCTCATGATTTATATGCCAAATTGCACAACTTAGCAGGTTTAGTGCCATTAAGTACTGGTATTCTTTAAAGTCTGCAATTCATATATGAGAACAATTTGCAAGATTAATTCCCAAACGTCTGTGTTGCATTACGTATCACTTTGACTGTTCCTCTAACTGTCGCATCTGCTGAATGCATGTTTTCAAAGATCGTGCTGATTATGAGTGACCAGTAAACAAGCATGATGCAAGAACAATTGAATAGCTTAACATTAATATCAATTGAGCACAAAATCATCGACTCTCTTGATTATGCAAACTTAATAAAAGATTTTTCCAAAATTAAATTACTCAAGGTGTTTTTACAGTAAGGTTTGAATTGCATATCAGGCTACAATGCTACATGTACATAATACAATATCGGATACTCTGTTACTCAGTTATCCTGAACTGAGTAACTTAACTGAACTGAGATTAGGTAATACTCAGTTATCCTGAATCCTGTAATATGATATAGAAGATAAGATATATACAGTGGAACCTCGATATGAGTTTAATTTATTCCAGCATTGAGCTCGTACAGCGAATTTCTCATATCTGTTAACAAACTTCCCCATTGAAAATAATAGAAATCCAGTTAATCTGTTCCACACCCCCAAAAATATCAACATAAAATCAATTTTTTTAATAAATAACACTGGTAAATAATGTAACCCTAGTTTACCTTTATGATATCTTCCGATACCGACCTTTTAACTGCTTCTTTTTAATCCACATCAAAAACAGCTTCTAGGAGTTTCAGATGGTGCTTGGAAGTAATGGTAACTCCTTTGGTCAGATCAAGTTTCTTAATTTCCTCCTTCTTTTTCAGAGCTCAGATCGTCGTTGTTAAAAGGCCATAAGTCTTCGCCAATTCCGTCACTCTTACACCACGCTTATGTTTATATATGATTTCTTTCTTAATTTCAACAGCCATGGCTCCCTTATTTTTCTTTGGGGTTGGTGGTGGAGCCCCCAAAAGTTGGAGGGGGCTCCTCCTCCAACCCCTGTTTTGTCTAGAGATCCACATACCACTTAAGAACGGTCGTGCTTCTGCAGCCACATTTAAAATTACTTGCATTTTTGATAATCATACACTTGTGTTCTTGATAATCATGCATCATCATATACTGTTCAAACCATCTGTAACATTTGGGTTGCAGGTTTACCTAATTAGTAACAAAATTTAATGTTATATAACGTTCAATCTCAAAGCAAATTTTTTTTGTAGAATATCTTCTAGTAAAAAAATGACTTCAGTAATTTTATATGCAAATGACAAAATAACCAGTTTAAACCAGTTTTAAAGAGTTTGGAACATACATTTTTATTTTGTCATTTTTTATTTTATCATTTGGTCCTTTAGTTTGTCCCGTTATTTTATCGTTAATATATGTGTATGCATATATTGTCTTTTTTAAATTTAAGTTTGTTACTTTAAGTTATACAGTCTGTTTATTGAAATGCCTTAAAAATTATTTAATGTTTTATGTTAAATATATAAATACATAATTTAAATTATTCCAGATAAATATTGGAATGTTTTCAGTGAAGGAATTTACTTAAACAAAATTTTAATTCTTGTACTATCAAGGGGGAACACTGTGTAAATGAGCTTAAAAGTATCATGCAATCGATAATCAGAACTTTAAATTTTTAATTTAATATGATTTTACTCCTGGATATATTATTTTGTTCTTTTCTTACAGGATCATATGCTATGATTATAGGAGAAGTAATATCAACTAAATTTTCTGTTGAAATCAGAGCTATGAAACTGACAGAATTATTTGAAAAAAATGCAGAAACTCTGTGGATTCTAGAAGTATTAGATTTCTACAAATTCATGGAAAGCAGTTGATAATTTTTTGTATCTTTTTACCAATATAAATTTTTATTTTTCTATTATATGCAGAAATCTGTGTAGAATGTTACTAAATTATTTTAAATGTTATCCTTTATTGCTTAATCTGCCAAGAAGTATTTCTGTATCGGCAAAATGTTGTGAAAAAGGAGAATTTAAGGAATTGGTGAAAATAGCAAATGTATCTAAACCCATATGTAAAACAAAGAGTCCACACTTAGTACCAGTTGGATACTTGCCTAAGATACCTAATCAGAGTTTGATTCGTCATCTGCAATGGATAATGAAAAAAGATCTTTTGAAGCAAGATATGTTTTTGATTGGTTTACCAGGACCACTTCGTGGTCGCATTATCCTTCAGTATTTAGAAATAATGCATCAGGAAGTAGAATATGTTGTATTGTCTCGAGACACTACAGAAAATGATTTGAAACAGAGAAGAGAGATTTTGGAAGGTACAGCTCATTATATAGATCAAAGTGCAGTACGTGCAGCTATTGAAGGGCGGTTTCTTATTCTTGATGGGATTGAGAAGGTTGAGAGAAATGTTTTGCCTGTATTAAACAATTTGCTTGAAAATCGTGAAATGCAGCTTGAAGATGGACGCTTTCTTATTGCTCCAGAGAGGTATGATAAGCTTTTATCTGAATATTCAAAAAAAGTTTTAGATGAATGGAAATTAGTTCGTGTATCAGAAGATTTTAGAGTAGTTGCTTTAGGGTTACCTGTACCTCCATTTAAAGGGAATCCACTTGATCCACCATTTCGATCAAGGTTCCAAGCTCGATTTGTTCAGTTAAATTTTGAAGATCAAATTGGTGAGTTTTCTGATCAACATTACAAAATTTCAAAAGATGCATTAAAAAATTTTGTTTCAGCATGCTACACATTCGTCTCTAATGAATCAGCAGCTTTAGGTCTTCCAAAATTTCCCATTGAAAATTTATATAATGCATTAGAACTGTTGAATAATTTTCCTACCCTTCCAATGGAATGCATTTTAAAATGGATGTATCCATATTCAATTTTATCTGAAGAAGCGCAGAAGGCTGTACTGCACACATTAAAGACATTTACAGTTAATCCGCAAAAGACTAGGACTAATGTTAAAGTTATTAAAAATGTATATGGAAATAATAAGTTTTCCTGCCCTGTAGAATTTCATATTGATGGTGAAAAAACTGTACTTCATGTACTTGGCCATAAACAAAGTAATAAAGTTATTTCACATCCCAATTTCATCCCAAATCCATATCATGATAGTATTTTAGCCGATATGTTTCAAACACATACAGTTCAAGATTTTTGTATTGTTGGCAATAAAGGTAGTGGAAAGTCCATTTTAGTGAAGCAATTTGCTTCACTTCTTAATTATCCTGTGGAGATGGTTATGCTTTATAAAGATATGACAGCTAGGGATTTACTACAACAAAGGATTACAGATGAAAAAGGAAATACATTATGGAGGCCTTCTCAGCTTGTTAAAGCTGCACAAGAGGGAAAACTTCTTGTGTTAGATGGCTTGCATAGACTTCATTCTAGTACTTTGTCAGTGCTACAAAGGCTGATACATGACCGTGAAATGTATTTGTATGATGGAACAAGGTTATTACGGCATGATCGTTACAAATTGATTAAAGAAAAATGTCAACTTTCAGATAAAGAAATGGAAGATAGAAAACTTTTACCAATACATCCCTCATTTCGCATTATAGCATTAGCTGAATCTCCCAAACAGAGTTCCAAAAATGTCTGGATGACTCCTGAATTGATGTCTATGTTTATGTTTCATGTTGTACGTCCTTTATCTTTACAGGAGGAAAAAATGGTTATTCAAAGTTTAGTAGGGAAAATAAGTGAGAAAATTGATTTAGTTTTGAATTTTGCCCATGCATTGAGAAGCTCTAAAGATGAAGCTCTGCAGAATGTTAGTGGATCTTTTTCTACCCGGCAACTTATTCGAATTGCTCGAAGATTATCTTCTTTCCCAAATGAAAGTGTCTTTTCATTGATAACACAAGCTTGTTTATTGAAATTTTTACCTCAGCTTACTAAACAAGCTGTTGAAAATGTTCTTGAAGGCTGTGGTATTGATGATCTTCAGACATCAGTTTTAAGAGATATTGATGTGAATGAAAGCAAACTTCGTATAGGAAGTACAAGTGCCTTTGTTTCTACACCTGGCTCTAGTAAAGTCAAAGTTCCAGAAATTATTTTCTATAATAGCCAAGAACATTTAGAAGTAATGGAAGCCATGTTACAAGATTTTCTTTTGGGAGAGCATTTGCTTTTGGTAGGAAATCAGGGTGTGGGAAAGAATAAAATAGCTGACCGTTTCTTACAGCTGTTAAATCGGCCTAGAGAATATATTCAGTTACACAGGGATACAACTGTCCAGTCTTTGACTCAACAGCCAACTGTAGTTGATGGTAAAATTGTTTATGAGGATTCTCCACTTTTAAGAGCAGTTCAGCTTGGACATATATTGGTAGTGGATGAAGCTGACAAAGCACCAACTCATGTTACTAGTATTTTGAAAGCTCTAGTTGAATCAGGTGAAATGATGCTTTCAGATGGCAGACGTATTATACACCACACTGATGCAAATTCACAAGAAAATTCTGATACTGTAATTATGCATCCTGATTTTAGAATGATAGTTTTGGCAAACAGACCGGGCTTTCCATTTTTGGGTAATGATTTCTTTGCTACTTTGGGTGATATATTTAGCTGTCATGCTGTGGATAACCCTACACTTGAATCAGAAATATCAATGTTGCATCAGTATGGCCCTCAGGTACCAGAATACATACTTCGAAAGTTAACAAAATTTTTTGGAGAACTCCGATATATGTCAGATTCTGGATTAATTTCTTATCCTTATTCTACACGTGAAGTTGTAAATGTTGTTAAGCATCTTAATAAATATCCTGAGGATGGAATATCACATGTTTTAAAAAATGTTTTTGATTTTGATAATTTTAGTTTAGAATTAAAAGAAACATTGGAAAGATTATTTGAAAAACATGGAATACCTAGTGAAAATCAAACCATCAAAGTAAAAATAGCAGATAAATTTAATCTTCCAAAACCTCATTATAAAGCAGAGTGGCAGGTGGAAAATATTTCTGATTGCTGGACGATAAAATTACATAAACTGTATTGCGAAAATATTTGTAAGTTACCTGTCTTGTCACAAAATCTTGATTTTGAAGATGCAAGAGCTACATTATTTTCTGAACAACAAAGTTATTACCAACTACCTTTAAATGATGATAATATTCCCATTGACATGGCAACGTCACCAAGTTTAAATGATGGAATTATTTATGTGGCAACAGCAAACCCAGTATCCTTGTTCAAAATTGATACTGTCAAAACAATATTAAGCTGTGTCAATTTGTCTGGATATTTTCCAACTGTGAGAAGTGGATTTAAGCCAAAAATAAAAATTTGCACTTTAAGCTCACCTTATGACGGATTTGTTTTTTTCCATGAGAGTATGACGGAACAAACATTTTTAGTTAATCCATCAAATGGAATCATGAATAAAGTACATTTTTTTAATGCTGTTGAAGAAGCAGTTTCTAAAATTACTCGTGCTGTGTATTCTAAACCGGTACAAAGCAATTTTCAGTTGCACGTGGGCTTTCCATCTGGTAAGAAAATATTACTTTATGGTAAATATGGTTCAAAGCTGATACTTTTAGATTTTCACACTAATCAATCTCTTCATGTAGAAACACGAGAAAATATTAAGCAAATCATAGTATTAGATGAAACTAGTTTAATTTTAAGAGGTGAAGCAAGTAATTTCATTGTAGATATTTCAGATTCATCGAAATGGCTTGTGAGAAAAATTAAGAAATGTGATGATTTATTTGGACATTCAAATTTTAATGTAAAATTAATAAAAAATCATAATTTAGTGTCAAACTTGAATGTGATTAATAATAATGTTCATAAAGCATTAATGTCTAATTCAGAGGATTATGCATCCATTATTTCTGGTTCTTTCTTCAATGGAAATATTTTACAGGTGATGGGCTACCCAAGAAATAGCAGAATTTCTCTTGAAAATGTGAAAAGTTGTATATTACCTCTAACTTCACAAATAGTTCGATTTTTTCCATCAAATGCCCTCCTTGAAAGAGTTAATTTTCGTAATAACAATAGTGGATATTTAGAAGTGGTAGATGTCAAAGATTCAATTTATTATTACTTACGCATCAGTTTCCCACCAAGAATGTCTCCTTTTGCTAGTTGGTTAGCTGATACATCTGAGCAATATTTAATAATGTGTATGTCATCAGCTGAAGAGCTGTTTACAGCAGATGCAAAAGGATGTATTAGGAAATGGGAAGTTAATCGACTTTCGTTAAGTAATTCCTTTCAGGAGTGGAAAAAACTTGCAGGTTTGGATAGTAATCAGCAGCTTTCTATAGAGTATGTGAATCCAAATGCAGTAAATGAGCCTAAGCATGGTAAAGTAGATTCAACTGGGGCACCTCATGTTGGAGGGAATACCTGGGCTGGTGGTACTGGTGGAAGAGATACTGCAGGCCTGGGAGGGAAAGGTGGCCCATATCGATTAGATGCAGGTCATAATGTGTTCCAAGTATCAGATGCTGAGAAAGAAGCAGTCCCTTTGGAAATCAAAAATGCTGCCAGGAAAATGGCAATGAAGGCATATAAAGACAAGCTTAAAGAAATAGAAATGAGTGAATATGATGCTGAGCTATATGAAAACTTTCTTTTTAATGTTAAGAAACAAATTAATATTTTGCGTGTTATTCTAGAGGGATTGCAAGCAAAAAGCAAGGAGCGGCTGTGGATGAAACACCAGACATCTGGAGAATTTGACGATACAAAATTAATTGAAAGTATAACAGGTGAGAAAAACATTTATAGAAAAAGAGGAGATCTTGAGCCAGAAGTTGGAAGTCCACAAGAGAAACCAAAGCTTTTAAGGCTTGTTGTTGATGTTAGTGGAAGTATGTATCGCTTCAATGGACATGACAACAGACTTCAGAGAGAATTAGAAAGTGTAGTTCTAGTAATGGAAGCTTTTGATGGATATCAGGAAAAATTTCAATATGAAATCATAGGTCATTCTGGCGAACATCACTGCATTGAATTTGCACAGTTTGGTAGCCCTCCAAAGAACAATAAAGAACGGTTAAATATTCTTAAGAAAATGTATGCTCATTCTCAGTTCTGCATGAGTGGAGATAATACACTGGAAGCAACTTCACAAGCCATAAAGACTATTACAAAAAATGATGCTGATGAATATTTTGTCATTGTCTTAAGTGACGCCAATTTTGATAGGTATGGCCTTTCACCCAAGTCATTCGGAAATCTTTTGATTTCAGATGCTAAAGTTAATGCTTTCGTGATATTTATAGGTTCACTAGGTAATCAGGCATCTGTATTATCTAAAAAATTACCAGCTGGTCGAGGATTTATATGTTTTGACTCTTCAAACCTCACTGAGATATTACAAAAGATATTTACTTCTGCCTTATTTAGAGATTAAAAAGTATTGAAACAGATTAATTTTATAAGTAAATACAGTCAAAAGTCGTTAATTGGGACACCCATAATCCGGAATGATCTATAATCCGGACCTCAAAGCTACAAACTTTCTGCGCATGCGCGTAAGACCTTTACCGCTGCGAATTTGCGCGTGCGCGAAATACGTTTACGAATGCGCGTTTAATGTATAACGGACGGGATAAGCTAAGCTAAAATTATCTAATTATCTATTTCAGTTAATGTTGCAGATTGCGTTGTTCCTTAATCTTCAAATTGGATCCAGCTTATTATTTTTTGCAGACTGTTAGAGCAATTTTATAAAAGTAAGCTTGAACTTTCGATTATCTCAAAAGAATTTCCGATATATATTTCTAATATGTAAAGGATCTACAAAGCGAAAGCATGTTTCGGAGTCCATCAAACAAAAAAGTGGAATTGCTGCAAAAAATGGATAAAGGCATATCCTTTGTTTATCTAAACTTTGTTTATCAATTTAACGCCTGCGGCGGCGCGCAATGAACTGGAAGTTGATCTGTCAGCACTATCCTTATCTTCAGGGCAGATGTTTTTATTTTATTTGGCTTATAATTGCTTACTCAATGTAGTATTTCATCTCGATGTACTCCGTCTTTGATATGATTTAAATCAAATGCCTCGTCATTATAATTCGCTTCCGATAGCGAAGAAAGTAACATAGGTTATTGAAAACGAAAAAATTTCGATTGACAAATTAGTCGGTATTCTCGACACAGCAATTATAGAACTTGAACAGCGGAACTTTGTAACTGAACAAGAAATTATGTCTGTTTATAGAATTAAAGAGAATGTATTATCACATAAAAAACGAAGCAACTGAAACAACTTACATTGAAAGAAATGTTTAATAAAGTAAACAAATAAATATTAAGCTTTTTTTGTAAATTTTGATACCCTTTAGATCATAATTGTTCTTTATTTCATAAATTACGGTTTCATATTTTTAATTTTATGAATTTCTGCATGCCATCTTACCAGATTTAAACTGATGATCTATAATCCGGAAAAATCGATAATCCGGAATCGCCGAAGTCCCGACGAGTCCGGATTAACGACTTTTGACTGTATTGTATCTTTAAATATAAGTAATTTTGTATTAAATTATTTATGATTTATTGCATAGATTTGTGTGCTATGTTTTCGTATTAATTTAATCAAATCAATATCAGGCAGCCAATTACAAAATAAAGTTTATATTCATTTTCTTTGCTTTTACTTTTGTATTAGCTGTGTCATCAGATTCAAAGAAAAAGTTTAGTTTTCAGCATTCATTTTATTTTGTGAAATTTTTTCTAAGCTTTTAAGCTCAAGTAATTTCTTCTCTTATGACACTCCAGTTACCTGAAAAATGTAGCAAAAATTAACATGGCTTTGACATTACTAAACTATATTGATAAAATTTTCATGTTTTCCACATATTGAGACAACACTGCTGGTATCGCTTAACTGTTTGTCCCATTTCTCAATGCTGCCATACATTGGTATTTTGTTGTGATGTCTTAAACTGTATTTGTGACAAAATGCACATTGCACTAGTGTCGTGGATTTCAGTTGTCTATCACCATTTATTTTTTAATAAAATTAATGAAGAACTATACATCTTAATATATTGTACATTGCAGTAATTTCTTTGATGATTAAACAGGAAAAAAAAAATGGAGTTATGATAAAGATTTTTTTAATGTTTAAGAAACACTACATGTTTATAATTAGATCTACCGCAGTAATAATTAGGAAGAACAGAAAAGAATTATGATATTGATGCTGATTCTTGAGTACTAATTACTACTACCTTAGAATACCATTTACTTAGCACCATTGGGCTTATTCCAATCCCAGATAAGAGATTTTTACATATAATTGAATATATATTTCTAGAACTTTTGGAATTGAACTTTATTTCCAGTACATATTTTGTAGTGCTATCTGTAGAAATTGCATCATGCAAAGTCCATTAGTGGGCTTTTGATTTTTCGGCCACAATTAAATAATATCAAATATCGTGCAAATTATTTAAAATTAAAATGCAGGATTTTATATATCAGAAAAACAAAACAACATGTAAAATTTGCCATATTTATTATCACATAAAAGCTGTGAATTTCTTGGTATCTTGGCGTAAAACTTCATATGTCTGCCTGCGTACAAAATTGTCAAACTGAAAGCTTTCAGATTTTACATTAAGCCCAAAGGGGTGTTTTTTAACGTTTGCGGGTTACCTTTATTTATTAAATACCATGTTCTTTGCACTTAAACCATAAAATTCAGTTCAACGGCAATATCGCAAAATAATTTTTAAATGATCATATCTTTAGAATTTTCGATACACGATCTCGAGCGCTGGAGATTAATTCCCCTCCCCCCTAGAGTTGCCATTGCTCGCTTTGAAATCGTTGAGTTTGCTAATCAAAAATTCGTCAAAGGTTTACAAAATATGAAATAGATAATAAAACAAATTCAAAATTTGGCCTTCCAGATGCCCATATTCGGTTGAAAACGTACATTTTTCAAAATTTGACATCTCTACGGAATGGTGATCATTTGCCAGTCATACCATCATTTTAGTGTACATGTTACATTACAATTGGTTGATGTACAAAACATAAGTAATTAGAAATGTTGAATACCTAATATAACTTTAAAAATAAAATATAAATATAAAATCTGTGTAAAAGTCCATATCTTGTAGAATGTAGAAGAATATTAATATTACAATGTCTATATGTAGTAAAATTAATAAAGTAATAAAATAAAACTGTCTTATGTTGAAGTCCATATAATTATATGTAGAAGTTCATACATAGAACTCCATGTCTTGAAGAAGTGAAAGAATGTCCATATGTAGAAGTTTATAGTTTAATGATATAGTTAATTAAATCAGAATCCCCTGTTCAACCATTTTTATGGAGCATTTAAATTTTTATAGTGTTTGTCTGAACCAGAGTTGTGCTAAAGTTGTGGTAAATGGCTTGAGGTGGAGATCCTTTGTGATTTCGTAGTTAAAGAGGTAGTGATCAAGAGTGCCAGTATGTCTGAAGATACATAGGTTTGAGTAATGGAGACGGAATCTTTTAAGATATTCGGGGAAAGAACCATGTGACGTGAGAAAGATGGTGATTGCTGTATTGGAGAATAATAATTCTCTTGAGGGTACCCGGTAGGAATAGGAAAGTTCTACTTGTATTTTCCAATGTCCATTGCTGTTTGCAGAGGTCAAGTAAATCTTCTAGTTTATTGTTCAAGTAAGATAAATGATTTGGAAGGAAATGTTGAGGTAAAGACGGATTATTAGCTGCATAGGAGAGTTGTTGGTACTAGTTCATCAGCTATTTTGTTTCTATTGTTCCAGCATGAGCTTTTGTCCATTTGAATTTGGGTAGTGGATTGTGAGGAAAGTGAGAGAGAAGATAATGATTATTGCAAACTATTGGAGATCTACTGTGGCCAATTTGATGCTGGATGCACTATCTGTAATTATTAAGATAGGAAGGCAAAAGTCTTTGGTAAAGGTGATGGCTTCTTTTGTCGCAAATTACTTTGCTTGAAAGACTGAGTTTTTATGAGAGAGTTGTTGGTATCAATTATTGATTAGTTTATTATTATAAAAGGCACAGTATGCACAGCCTACTCGTAGCTCAGTTTTGGATCCTTCAGTAAATATTTGTAGAGCGAAGCAATAGGATGGGTATGTAGTAATAAGTGATTTTGTATGAAATTCAGATGGATTTAAATCAAATATTGCGAAACCGTTGTTCATATTTATCCGGGAAATATTGATTACTGTTCAGAGTGCTAATGGAGACATAATCTTGTTATTTGTACTTTTACAGCTTCTTTTATAATTGAAAGATAAATAGATGGAATTCTCAAAACATAAGATCATCCTTCAACTCAAGCATCCACACACATACAAAAAAAAAAGGAAGTTAATAGTGTCGAAATTTTTACCTGCAATTCAACATGCAAACTGCGTTCTTTCACAAATAACGTTAAAATAAACTGGTAGAACAACAACTTATCTATTGTAAAGTCGGAGCACTTCGCCGCAGACACAAATCAAGCTCAAACGACGACGAAAGAACTTTTTACAAACTTCAATATCAAGAAGCTCGAGCTTTTGATTATTGTTCAGACTGCATGGAGACACAATCTTGTTACTTGTACTTTTGCAGCTTCTTATATAATTGAAAGATAAATAGGTGGAATTCCTGTTATTGTTTGTAGAGTAGTTCTGTATGCTTCTGAGATTATAAGAAGAAATGGTCTTTGAATAGTTGAGAGATGACGTTTTACGTGACTATTTAAGTGATTGCCCCAGGCTGAGACTCCATGTAGTATATCCCCCCCCCTCGATGACTAAAAAGTACCAAATTTTTAGTAGATTTGACGAAGAGTATGGGTGAGAATAATGGTTTTATTTTTTATATGATGAATATGAGGATGATACGGCATTTTCGGGTCTATTACACTTGCCTAGATGAGATTCTTGTCTAATTTTATTTTATTTTGGGATATTTTCATAATCGAATTTCTAATTTTTTTAAGTGATGACCTTGATTTAGGCATATATAGTGCTTTACATTCAGAAAAACAAATCTTGAGATGGAATTTATTAGCCCAGTTATTGTAGATATTGAGAGATTCAATGGGATTTTCTTCTATTTGTTTTCGATTGCTTGCATTAATTATTAGAAAGAAATCATCGGCATATGCCTGTGCGTGTGTGTGAGGAATATTGTCAAAAGATTGTAAAGCAATATTTGCAATGAGATTCCGAAGAGGGCCCCAAGCATGAGCCCTTGGGACAGCCTTTGGTTATTTTATAAGCAATGCTACCATTATTGGATGTATTAAGAGAGTTATTATTGGATGTATTAAGAGAGTAATTTTATAAGCAATGCTACCATTATTGGATGTATTAAGAGAAGTATTGCCATTATTGGATGTATCTTTTATTAAGAGAAGAATGTCATTTGGCCAGTTGATGCTTTCTAGAATATTGATAATGTCTTTCCATCTGATAGAATCGAATGCAGATTGAATGTCCAAGGATATTGAATATTGATTATTTATTTTATTATTATGGATAACTTCTTGAAGTTTTTGAAATGCATGTTCT